AAGAGGAGAGGGAGATTGGAAAAAGTCCAGCTGGAAGTTGTTGTGCCTCTGCCAAAAGATAAAATAAAAAGATATATGGAAATGAATTCCTCACCCCTGTGCGAACATGGAGGAGAAACAGCCCCTTAGAGCCATCAAGGGATGGAAAAAGGAGAAAAGAGGGGGGTTACATCTCTTTTGCTGGTGAGGGAGAAGGAAAATATGATCACTGAGCGCTCAGAAGCTCCCACATGCTAGGCTGCGTTTGTAACATCCTGCTGTCTTTGTCATAGAGCAACAATGCTGGGTTTTAATTAGCCAGTGGTTGGCTTTGATATCCTAATCTCCAGCACTGCGCAGTGACTTTGTTGCTAGTCACGTGCCGTGGCGTCGTTTAAAGATGTGATTAGATTCATTTATTGCAACCTTTTTGCCTTCACTGTGGTAGTCTCTTAATTACAGGCTTCCAGGCATCCTTGAGTCCAAAACCATCCCGTTGAGTTCTCTGTGGAAATGCTGCTGTGTGCCCTGCACAAGCGCTGCCGACTACTGTGTGCAGGCACTTCGGTTGCCTTGGAAACCAAGTGCCATATATATATATGTGTGTGTGTGTGTGTGTGTGTGTGTCTTCCCGCTCCATGCACATCATTTTCTTTTCAGACTTGGAGCATTAGAAATGCTCTCCAGCCTGGAAGAGTCGCTGGAAAGCTGCTCATGGAAAACGACCTGGGGGTGCTGATAGACTGAGTTTGTGCCCAGGCAGCCAAGAAGCCACCAGCATCCCGGCCTGTATCAGCACCAGTGTGGCAGCAGGGCCAGGGCAGTGATCATCCCCCTGTACTGGGCACTGGTGAGGCTGCACCTCGAATCCTGTGTTCAGTTCTGGGCCCCTCACTGCAAGAGAGACATTGAGGTGCTGGAGTGGGGCCAGAGAAGGGCAATGGAGCTGGTGAGGGCCTGGAGCACAAGTGTGATGAGGAACGGCTGAGGGACCTGGGGGGTTTAGTCTGGAGAAGAGAAGGCTCAGGGGGACCTTATCGCTCTCTGCAACTGCCTGACAGGAGGATGGAGCCAGGAGGGGGCTGGACTCTGCTCCCAAGTAATAAGGGATGGAACAAGAGGAAACGGCCTCAAGCTGCGACAGGGAAGGTTTAGACTGGATATTAGGAACGATTTCTTCCCTGAAAGGGTTGTCAGGCATTGGAACAGGCTGCCCAGGGCAGTGGTGGCCTTGGCAGTGCTGGGGAATGGTTGAACTTGATGATTTTGAAGGTCTTTCTCAAACTGGTTGATTCTGTGATTCTACAATTCTATGACTTTCCAGGAAAGGGCTTGTCCAGAGGCCCCTCGTCGCAGTACTGAGCACTGACCGCTGTGACTCTCTTCCAGGGCCATGGCCCAGCCCTGTTTCTTCCTTGGTGTCACCTGGTATTTCTCCTCATTTCACTCCCTCTCCTCCCTCTAAGCAGAACTGCTTGAGGACAAGACTCATTCTTTGTTCATCTGGCAGAGGATCGTTTTTTTTGAGCACAGGAGATGTTGGTGGGTGCAAGGATGAACAGCGTTGCTGCAGTGGTTTTATCTCCCCCTTCTTGTCTTCCTTCGTCTGCATCTCCCCTGTATGTAGTCTCTCACTTTCCTTCTCCAGAGCTCTAGCTTGGCAAGTGCTCCAGTCTCAAACCCTGGCTGGCCACCCCTGCTTGCTGCCTTTCAGATAGCACTTCTCTCCGAGCTGCATCCCTCTGAGCATTTCCTTTGCATTGCATTTCTCTCCTCACTTGTCAGTTGTCAAAATCACATCTATTTTTAGTCACCCCAAGCTTCTTTGCCTGTTGGGGGTGTATATTTAGACACTTGCTGAAAAAAAAAACATTTGTCAGGCGCTGTTCCACCTAAAATGGAAGATTTCAGACCTGTGTGTTTCAGAAATGCAGGAAAAATGGTTTCTGGAGAACTCAGAGCTGTTTCCAAAGCTGAAGAAGCAGGAACAGGGTGTGAGCTGAGCCCACCTCTGCAGAGGTGGTGTGCATCTCGGGAGGGAACAAGGCATGACATGACACCTTTAATTTCCTCACTTCTGTCAGCGTCAGCAGGACATGGCTGATGAAAGAGTGATAGAATCAAATGTATTTTTTATAACCTTGCACTGTATTCATGAGAAATATCAAGGGCAGCACATCACTGGCTATGGTTCTTGCTACCAGCTTCTGCTCATTTTGTGTGTCTATAGGCTCAGCACTGTGAAGCCAGGAGGGTTTTCTCAGCTCCAAGTCCTTCTCTTCAGGGTTGCTCCATCCAGTCTCTGTCCAGCTGTGTTTGTACTTGGGATTGCTCCAACCCAGGTGCAGGACCTTGCACTTGGCCTTGTTGAACCTCATGAGGTTCACATGGTCCCACCTCTCCAGCCTGTCCAGACCCCTCTGGATCCCGTCCCTTCCTTCCAGCATGTCCACCCCACCACACCACACAGCTCAGTGTCATCAGCAAACTTGCTGAGGGTGCACTGATCCCACTGTCCGTGTCACTGATAAAGATGTTGAACAGCGCTTGTCCCAACACCAACCCCTGAGGAACATCGCTCGGCACTGGTCTCCACTTGGACATGGAGCTGTTGACCACAACTCCTTGAGTGCGACCATCCTTATCCAGTGGTCCATCTGTCAAATCCATGCATCTCCAGTTTAGAGGCAAGGATGCCATGTGGGACTTGCAATAGATTTCCACTTCTTTAAAACACCCACATTCCTACTGCTGGCAGTGGTGGTCCTGCACTAGAAGGAGGCACATTGCAGCATGTGTAGGACAGCGGCCTGGGAGGAAGCGTCTTGGTTTCTTACAACCTGGTGAAGATCTGTTACTCTGCTGTTACTGCAGGTTGTGCCCTGCTCCATCCGCAGGGCATCAGCACTGAGAACACCTCCAGCCTGAAGCCGAGGGGAGGGCTTGGTGCGTGTAGCGTTTGGGTTCATTTTCTTTTTACCTGGTGTCTCATAACTTCTCTCAGGGCAAACCTGTGCTCCACTTGGCTTCCCCCACCTTTTCCCAAAATGCAAAACTCGGGCATTTTTCCAAAAGCCAGGAATGCTTTGTAGGAAGCCAAACTCATCTCCTTTGGCGGTGAGAGGTGGGATATCTCTCTGTGTCCTTGACTGTACTTCAGTGTCAGCAGCAGATCTTTTTGTTCCTTTTCACCCCCACTGTCTGCACTCTTTGTCCAATGACAAGTATCTGGCTAAATCCTTTCCTCTGAAACACTTGACATGTAGCATGACTTCCCTGTCTTGGCTGTTCATGTCAAAGCCTTTTAACTTCGAGTTATGTAATTTATTTAGCTTTTTCTTTGTGGCTTGTCACAGTTGCTGCCCCTCATCTGCAGAAGGAGAGGAAGGGAGAGATTGGAAGTGAACTTAAAATGTGGTATTTTTCAGTTTGCTCATCCCTTTATTTGCTGGAGGAACAGCAACAAACTGATTACACTGATCCTTTAGTGTAGGGAGCTGGTGGTGAATAGAGATGCTGCGGGTCTTTCAAAAGCTGGGGTGAAGGAGAAATAAATGTAGATTAATTTCTCCTGGAGGTGTGCTGGAACTCTAGCTTTCCCAGAGCAATTTGGTCTTTCAGTCTTCACAGTCATCAGTCTGAATGTGGCTAGAAAAGAAAGGCTGATAGCTGGAGTAGTCCATGCTGGCTGGAGCAGAGCAGGTTGCAGAGGTGTTGCAGGATCCTGGCTCTGTTCTGTGCCTCAATGGAGCTGGGGGAGATCCCCAGGGATGCTGGGGTGCTGTAGCCTCTGGGAAGGAGTGACCTGGTGCCTCCAAGCCTGGGATTGAACTGCTGCTCCAAGGCAGGGAAAGGGGAAGGAGGGTGGCGTTTCCACTTGGGGGGATGTACCTGCAGCACCTGTACCACCCTGCGGGTTTTGGCCATGGTACCTTGGAGAAATATCTCTTCCTTTAATAAGTGATGCAGCTTAGAAATGGGAGGCTGTTGGTGCTTCTAAATCTGTTCCTCCAGTTTGTAGCAGTCTCTGGCCAGCCATCGACAGAGTGTCTTTCTAGTCAAACACATCAGATCATGTACCGTGCAGAGGGAGCTCTCCCTGGTGCCGCTCTCCCCTGTCTGCCTGCTGAGCTGCGGGCAGCCTTCAGCTCTCCTGGTTGGAAACTGGGGCACCTCTGAACCGGCTTCTTTCATCTGCCTCTGAAAAGCCCTGCGTCCTCCTGCTTAACATGTCAGAGAGTTATTTTGGTAGTAAAAACAAGAGCATCTTAGGCTGGCATGAGTGGTCCCCAGGAGGTAAACCTGCCTTTGTGCTGCCCTCCTTTTCAAGGGCTGTAATGGGGTGAACTGGCTGCTATCTGTATGGATTGGGAAGCACTATAAGATGGCAGATACGTTTTCTTTTGATGTTCTGACCATATTCTTGGAAGGTGTGCAGGAATCTGCTTGAAAATGAAGCAGAGATCAACACAACGATTTGGGTAGAGTGGGCTCACCCCAGCAGGGACAGGAGATTTCGCTCTGAGACGAGTGATTTCCACCTCAAATTTCCAATTAAGAATTCACCTCAAAAATATTCTGCTGCAAAATTCCCCCGTGGAAGCATTGCAGCAAGAGTTTTTGAGTATAAATACATAAATGCTGGAACCGTTAGTTCCTGATTTCCTTTTTTTTCAATCAGTCCTTATTGCCCACTGAAACAGAGCTTGAGTTTGTTCTGAGCAGTTGGTGGGAAGCAGAGTATACATATATATATATGTGTGTGTATGTTCATAGACACACTTTATATATATATAAAAAAGTAAATATATATCTATATGGGGAGAGAGGTGGAGAACAAAATGCACAATAAGTGTTTTCCTCTTGCCAGAATGCTGTTGGATCTGAAGTCACTTTATGGGATGGCGCCTGCCACCTTCAGTTGCACACCACAGAAAGCCTTTGCATAGAGCATAGTTGTTCTTTCTGGTCCCTTGCAGCAACATCTGACTGATGCTCTCATTTTCACCTTGCAGGAAGAGCCAGCACCGCCGGTGCAGGGCCGGAGGTCATCGCTCAGTGGAGTGTGCTACCTGACCATGGGTCTCCTCGTGCTGCTCCTGGGCTTGGTCTTTGCATCGATGTATGTGTACAGATACTTCTTCATCACCCAGGTAAGGGTAAGTCGGGAAGGACTTGTGGCTCTTCAGCTGGAGCAGCCAGACAAGCTGCTTCATGCTTCAGCCTTTGAAAGTGGGGTTGCTGCTATTTATTGCTTTGCACTGTGGTAACTCCGGAGCCAGGCCCCTAGGCACTGCAGAAGAGGTGTGTCTTAAGGCTCATGGGGGATGGCTCAGTGTCTGGATGGACACTAGTGACAAATGGCATCCCTCAGGGGTCCATGCTGGACCAGTACTGTTTAGTATCTTCCTCAACAACACAGTGTATTGAGCATGCCTTCAGCAAGTTTGGAGATGACACAAAGCTGAGTGGAGCAGTTGACATGCCCGGGGGATAAGAAGCTATCCAGAGGGGCAGGCTCAAGAGGTGAGCCCATGCGAACCTCATGAGGTTCAACAAGGTCAAATTCAGGGTCCTGCCCCTGGACTGGAGCAACCGCAGTATCAGTAGTCTGGGGGATGGAGAGATTGAGAAGTACCCCTGAGAAGGATTTTGGGGGTAGTGGTGGATGATGAGCTCCCCATGACCCAGCAGTGTGCACCCACAGCCCAGAAACCCTCTGTGTCCTGGGCTGCATCTTCAGAGTGTGATTGATCTTGAAAGATCTTCAAGCATGTGTTTGGAACG